GGAAATACTCCGTCCTCGCCAAGGGAATCATAACTGAATTATATTCCCATCCCTTTTGCTTATACATTCTATCCCAAACACTAAAAACTTTCTTTGTCAGTGGACTATTATTCACATCTAATGTACAAAATTTATGTGGTATCCAAACCATCTTCCCTAACTGTGCCTTGCTCAAAGTTCCTTCCATATTCACCCAACCTTTCTCTTGTGAATTAAATATCCAATCTATTACTCTTGACAATATCACCGCTTGATATTTCTTAACATTAGGAATACCCAAACCCCCATTTCCCTTTGCCCTACACAACACCTCATACTTCTCGGTTTCTTGTTTGCCCAGATGAACTTAAGCATCATCTTCTTTATTATCTCAGAAAAAGATCCTGGAAGGTGAACTGGGAGCATGTTAAACTTATACAGGGTTTTTGGTACTATCACCATCTTTACCAGATTTATACTTCCTATCGAAGAAGCTCCACCGTTTGACAATCTCGCCAGCTCCTCTTTTATTTCACTTAGTAATGGAATGGAATTTGCCTGGTGCAGGGTTTTTATTGAAGGAGTTAGTTTTATCCCCAGATAGCTTATTCCCTTTTCCCTCCAAGTAAAGGGAAAGTCTTTTTGTATACTCAGCTTCTCGACCTTTGGTATATTAATGTTTAAGATCTGATTTTGTGTGGTTTAATTTCAGATTTGACCTCTGGCTTTTATAACAGCTTGAATTCTCTGAGGCATGAATTTAACTATCGACAAACTGTATTCTTCATCAATCCAACCAAAGTGGTTATGCTCAGTTTCATATTTAAAGTTCCACCATGAACTTGAATGGGATGTGTACATCCTTCCAGTGTTTGGGTGAATTTCCTTTTCAGTTACCTGGTTTACAACTGCATTTTGATTATACATTTACCAGAATTATACATTTATCAGAACAGGTTGTGTGGGGTTGCTTATGTATCTTCAGCTGTCCATCCATCTCCTTCGATATTGATAGCACGGGTGTCAGTGTGGAATCTGGACACCATCTGTTCGTTTGAACTCTTGATTTGGGATCAAATTGGTCTGGTAAGAGGCTGATTTGTTTAGTGTGGCGAGCACTTGTGGACACCATAGCACCTTGTTGGAAGTTATATTCAGCATTTTTTTTCCTTCCTTCACATTGGATTTGGGACTTATAAATACTATATAACTATGTAACTAAGTGCTATGAATCAAATGTCCGTTACATGAAAATACATATGTATATTTTTGTACACTTACATATGTGAGTTTGTGGTTAATTATTGTATCAGGATAATATTAGTGTACAAAGCACTTTTTTTTTTTTTTTTTTTTTTTTTTTTTTTTTATATATTTTCACATTAGCCTAGCGCTTGTATTTTTTTGGTGCCTAAGAAGCATAAAATGGTTGCTCTTTAGACACCATAATGTATTGAGCGCTATTGTCTTTAAGTGCTTGTGCTGTTTAATTTGAATGACAATATATTTTATTGTTATTTCTCAGCTTTACTCCTGTTCGTTGGATGGTACTATTAAATTATGGGACTTTATGGATGGTATACTAATAAAGGTAAATGTATTTTACGTTTCTTGTTCTTGTGTTTTTCTTGTCACTGTTGTTGTTTTTATTTATCTATTTTTACCTTTAAAAAAATACATTGCAAAAAGAGTAGGACAAACCACCTAAAATTGTTCAGCTATATTAGTGGTAAAAAGGTCAGGTCTGAGCATGTAGGTCCTTTCAAAATAATGTAGAGTGGGTGACGGGACAAAGGAAAGGAAAAATTATTAAATACATTTTTCAGCTCTGTGTATACAAAGGAGCATAGGGGAGCTTCTGTCTATAATGGGGATGAAAATGACACATAATCATAATGGCTCAGAATTGATATGGTCCAAAAATATTTAGACAGAACAAAGGTGAATAAGGTACCTGGAATACATTGCATACACCCATGGGTCCTAAAAGAATTGAGCGCTGTCATTCCAAAGCCATTGTTTCTAATTTTTTGGGACTCTTTAATGACTGGCATGGCATCACTGGATTTATTGTAAGTCCAGTGTGGTGCCTATATTTAAAAAGGGGTTAAAGTCCAAGTATCTATAGACCTGTTACTCTTACTTCTATAGTTAGGAAGGTAATGGAGAGTTTGATAAAAGACCACATGGATGAGTTTTGCTTGGGGAAAAAAAAAGTTTTAAGTAATAGATATAATGGGTTTTTTTTACTAAAGCTCAGGCTCATGTCTGCATAGAAACCAATCCGCTTCTAATCTCAGCTTGTTCAGTTAAGCTTTGGCAATAAAATCTGGAAGCTGATTTGTTTCTATGAAGACGTGAGCCTGATTTTGCACTCTCCAGCTTTAGTAACTGAATCCCCAGAAGTTGTCAAACAAATCTGATTTATTCTTATGAGGAGGTAAGCAAAACAAAGGAGTGGCTGTGGACATGATATACTTGGATTTTATAAAAATATTTGACGCAGTTCCCCACACATGGCTAATGTGTAAGGTAAAGTCTACAGGCCTGGAAAAATCAGTTTGTAAATGGTTAGTAAACTGGCTAAAAGACCATATTCGGAGAGTAGTGGTTAATGATTCATACTCTGAATGGTCTATGGTTGTTAGTGGTGTACCCCAAGGTTCAGTGTTGAGACCCTTTTCTTTTTAATATATTTTTAAATCATATATGGTTTAGGATTAAAAGTAACATTTCAGTCTTTGCAGATGACACCAAGCTAACATTCTTACAGGAAGTCTCCATCTTACAAGCTGACCTGTTTAATTGGGCAGCTGTGTGGCAAATGAGGTTTAATGTTGATAAATGTAAGGTTATGCACTTGGGGGCTAAGAATATGCATGCATCATACAAACTAGGCCAGCGGTTAAGATTTCGCGCCCAGACCTACTAGCCGGTCACAAAACGTACTCTCCACCAGTTGCCCCACCAAACCTTGCCCAGGTCCGCCCCCTTAAAGCTTATGAAATTAAATTTTTATTCAGAATAAATAGTCCAAAATATAAAAATGTACACAGTAATGTATATGCCAGTTCTCCTGTACTCCATTATAGTGATATGACATGTATACAGTAATGATTATAATGGAGTACAGGAGAACTGGCATATACATTACTGTATACATGTCATATCACTATAATGGAGTACAGGGGAGCTGGGATATACATTACTGTATACATGTCATATCACTATAATGGACTACAGGGGAGCTGGGATATACATACTGTATATATGTCATATCACTAATGGACTACAGGGGAGCTGGGATATACATACTGTATACATGTCATATCACTATAATGGACTACAGGGGAGCTGGGATATACATACTGTATACATGTCATATCACTATAATGGAGTACAGGGGAGCTGGGATATACATACTGTATACATGTCATATCACTATAATGGAGTACAGGGGAGCTGGGATATACATACTGTATACATGTCATATCACTATAATGGACTACAGGGGAGCTGGGATATACATACTGTATATATGTCATATCACTATAATGGACTACAGGGGAGCTGGGATATACATACTGTATACATGTCATATCACTATAATGGACTACAGGGGAGCTGGGATATACATACTGTATACATGTCATATCACTATAATGGAGTACAGGGGAGCTGGGATATACATACTGTATACATGTCATATCACTATAATGGAGTACAGGGGAGCTGGGATATACATACTGTATACATGTCATATCACTATAATGGAGTACAGGGAGCTGGGATATACATTACTGAGTAATGTATATCCCAGCTCCCCTGTACTCCATTATAGTGATAGGACATGTTGTATACAGTACTTACTGTCCCCCGTGGCGGTGGGAGAGGGTGTCTCCTCTCAGCGGAGGAGAGCGGACCTCTCCTGCACCTGTCCCCTCGGCTGCGGTGCCACAGAAGCCGGAAACCGGAAGTTGTAAACCGGAACTCTGCTTCACAATGATGCTTGGTGCGCAGGTGCAGTCGCTCGCCACAGAGGAATTTCTCCTAACATTTGGCGAGCGGCTTTTTCAAGCCCTGTACTAGGGGGAGTACAACTGGGGGAATCAATGGTGGAGAAAGATCTGGGTGTTCAGGTAGATCACAAGCTTAATAATGGCATGCAATGCCAAGCTGCAGTTTCCAAAGCGAGCAAAATCCTCTCTTGTATTAAAAGAGGCATAAACTCCAGAGAGAGAGATATCATTTTACCCCTGTACAAATCATTAATAATACCTCATCTGGAATATGCAGTTCAGTTTTGGGCACCAATTCACAAAAAAAATATTGGGGAATTGGAAAAGGGCAGAGCAGGACAACCAATCTTATAAGAGGCATGGAGGAGCTCAGCTATGAGGAAAGATTAGAGGAACTGAATTTATTCTCTTGAGAAGAGGAAATTAAGGGGGGATAGGATCAACATGTATAAATACATCAGTGGTTCATATAGTGAACTTGGTATAGAGTTATGCACTTTAAGGTCATCACAGAGGACAAGGGAGCACTCTTTACGAAAGGGAGCAAAAAGAGATTTAACCTTCATATATGGAAAGGCTTCTTCACACTAAGCTGTGAAAATGTGGAATAGACTCCCTCAAGATGGTTCTGGCCAGCTCAGTAGATTGTGTTAAAAAAGGCCTGTGTTTTTTTTTTTTTTTCCTAACTGCAGAAAATATACTTGGATACTAATATTTATAGGTATAATTGATCCAGAGAAGAATATCTGATTGCCTTTTGGGGGATGAAGAAGGATTTTTAGATCATGTTTTATTGAGTTTTTTTTGCCTTCTTCTGGATCATCTGTGGGTATATGATTTTGTATATGGAGATTTTACATTTTTTTTTTTCTCTGTGGAGTGAACTAGATGGATTTGTGGCTTTGTTTTTAACCAAACTAACTACGTAACTGTATATTTCAGAATTACTTAATAGATGTCAAACTGTTTGGATTTTATACTGATATCAAAGAAGACCATGTGTACGCTATTGTACCGAAGAATGATTGTGAAACTTCAGGTTTGTTGCATCTTTTACATGTTTTACTTTATCGCTTTATAATATATTATAGTTTGGTTAGGAATGGCACAGATTCTGTTTGGAAAATGTCATTCTTTCAGTAGTACAGCTTGAATGGCAGAGCCAAGTATTGCGTGGCTAGACACATTACTGAAGAAGGACTCCTTTGGTATCATTTAGAAAAACTACACCCTGATGAGCAGTGACAACATACATATTTCTTTCAGCATGGATTTCTTTTAAAGTAAAATATTAATTTGCTTACAACTCACAAATTGTAAATCAAATGCAGTCACCCTGTTGTGCTTGCATGTACATTTCAGTATCTTCCCTAAATGTCCTAAATCAGCAGGGTGCAAAAATATGCAAATCTCTAACACAATGCCTTCCACAGTTCTCTTTTGGACACTGCACCTGTCCATTCCTTTTAAAGAACAAATACGTTGTTTGGTAAGGGGCAAGCCAGCTCTTACCTTTTTCAGTAAAAGTTGCGATGTGCTTATTTGATACTCTAGGGGTGATATGAAAGCAGACACCAAAGGTTTACTCTGAGAGGGGATAGACAAAATAGAGTATTTTTGTTTTGGCTATAGTTCCAATAGCTTTGGAAACCTTTTTAAGCTTCATTTATCCTTTCATACAGATTTTTTTTTGTTTTTCTTTGGAGGTATATTGCAGTCCCTTTTTAGCTTTGCCAAGTGCCTGGCAAAATTCTAAAAGTGTGTACTATGCTTTGCATTTTGTAATTGGGGTCCAGAGTGCTGAGATATGGCTGATAAATCGCTGTCTACAGTGTTGACTATGACAGCTTGATGTTATCTAGGCAGGAGAATATACTGTGGTCAGTTCTGTAGCTATCCTGGGGCTCAGCCTGCTCTCCTCCAGTGATCAGCTTCCTGCTGACACTACCCCCCCTCCCCCCAGCCTTTCACTGGGAATTTTAGTGTGCTGCTGTTTCTCCTCCCTAAGCTTTTTTTATGCAGCTGAGAGTAGATTACTTGATCACTTCCAGAAAAGGTGTTTATAATTTTTTTTTTTACTTAAATTGCCCCTGTCCCCCGTGCTCGCTCGCAAAGGCGAAAGCACGCGTTGGTCCTGTACGCATTTTTAAACAGTGATCACACCACACGAGGTATCACCGCGAACGATGGATCATGAGCAATGGTTCTAGCATCAGACCTCCTGTGTAAATCTGAGGTAGTAAACTGTAAAGGCTTTTAAAGCGTCACCTATGGATAATTTAATATTGGGTATTATATTGTGTTTCTGTGCACTTAAATTCATTAAAGTGGGGTTTTTTGGGGGGATTTTTTAGGATTGTTGCAGTTACAAATGTTTAGGAGTTCTCATGTTTTTCTTTTGTTTGTATTGGTATGACACAAAAAAGTGGAGAAACAAAAAGCCAAATCTAACACATTCCACACAAAATTCCAAAAATGGACTGGACAAAATTATTGGCACCTTCTCAAAAATGTAAGAAATAATTGCATTCCAAGTTTGTGATGCTCCTGTAATTTATAATTAAATTCACCTGTATCAATTAACAGGTGCTGGTAATATAGAAATTACACCACCAACCTGTTAAAATGGTGAAAAATTTACTCAAAGAATTGTCTGAGGATTTGAGAACAAAACTTGTGGAAAAGCATGGACAACTGCAAGGTTACAAGTCCATCTCTCAAGATCTTAATGTTCTTGTATCCACTGTGCCCAACATTGTAAAGAAGTTTACAGCCCATGGCACTGTAGCTAATATCCCTGGATGTGGACAAAAGAGAAAAATTGATCAAAGATTGCAACAGAGGTTTGTTCGAATCGTGGCTAAAAAATTATCAACTTCCAGACCAATTGAAGCTGACCTTCAGGCACAGTGTACAACTGTGTCGTCTTGCCAGATTGGAGTTTGCCAAAACGTACCTGAGGAAGCCAAAATCCTTTTGTAAGGATGTGTTGTGGACAGATGAAACAAAATTACAGCTTTTTGGTAAAACCCATTCTACTGTTTTTTCAGAAAAAGAAATGAGGCATTTAAAGAAAAGAATATAGTCCCTACAGTCAGACATGGTGGGGGTTCACTGATGTTTTGGGATTGCTTTGCTGCTTCAGGCAATGGATGTCTTGACCATGTGCATGGCATTCTGAAATCTGAAGACTACTAAAGAATTCTGGGGTGCAATGTAGTGCCCAGTGTCCGAAAGTTGGGTCTCCATCAGAGGTCATGGGTCTTACAGCAGGACAATGACCCAAAGCACCCAGAAATGGTTTAAGACAAAGCTATGGAAAGTACAGAACTGGCCAGCAATGAGTCCAGATCTCAATCCCATAGAGCACCTGTGGACAGATCTCAAAACAGCATTTGGGAAAAGGGCCTCTTCCAATCTGAGAGACCTGGAGCAGTTGGGGGGAAAAGTTGTCCCAAATTCCAATAGAGAGGTGTAAGAAACTTGTTTATGGTTACAGGAAGCGATTGTTTTTCAGTTATTTTTTTCCAAGGGGTGTGCTACCAAAAAATAAATTGAGGGTGCCAATTTTGTTCAGTCCATTTTGGGGGTTTTGTGTGGAATGTGTCAGATTTGGCTTTTTGTTTCTTCACTTTTTGTGATATACCAATATAAACATGAGAATGCCTAAACATTTGTAATTACAACAATATTCTGGGTGAAGTGGTACATTCTCTGACAGAAATGCAGGGGTGCCAATATTTTTGGCCATGACTTTGTGTGTGTATATATATAATTTGGGGTTCTAGGTAATTTTCTAGCGAAAAATGCTGATTTTTTTTTATACTTATACAGTGGGGATCGAAAGTTTGGGCACCCCAGCTAAAAATTTGTATTGATGTGCATAAAGAAGCCAAGGAAAGATGGAAAAATCTCCAAAAGGCATCAAATTACAGATTAGACATTCTTATAATATGTCAACAAAAGTTAGATTTTATTTCCATCATTTACACTTTCAAAATAACAGAAAACAAAAAAAATGGCGTCTGCAAAAGCCCAAACTTTCGATCCCCACTGTAGCTGAGAAGTGTCAGAATAGGCCTGGTCTTTAAGAGATTAAAGTGAATTTCTAAAGGCTTAAATATTTAATAACAAAAAAAAAAAAAGAAATATGTCTATACTTACCTGCTGTGTGCAGTGGTTTTGCAAAGAGCAGCCCCGGATCCTCCTCTTCTCGGGTCCCTCGCTGGTGCTCCTGGCCCCTTCCTCCTCTCTGGTGCCCCCACAGCAAGTAGTTTGCTATGGGGCACCCGAGCTTTTGCACTCCCCAGCTGCTGTGCAATGTGTCCATTCACAGACAGAGCTGCTACTTGGCCCCGCCCCCTCTCCCATCTTATTGGCTCACTGGCTGTGATTGACAGTCTCAGCCAATGAGGAGAGGGAGTCCCGGTGTAGCTGGGACTCCAGTGCACATTGCTGGATTGAGTGGGGGCTTAGGTGATTATTGGGGGGGTAAAAAACCTTCAGCCTTTACAACTACTTTAAACTGAATGGGTTGGTTTACAAGACAAGAGCTTACATATACTTTAATTGGTTCCCACCTGGCCTATTGTAGAATGACGGCTGGGTGGGACATCTCTCGTTCTGGTAGGATGTCATGACGCCCTTCCATTCTTGCCGCACATACACGACAATCTGTAGTGAGCTGCTTCCCTTGGACACAGCGCATCTCCGATCAGGGTAAATAGCCAATTATGTTGCTTCTTTACCATGTGATCAGCTGTGTCTGATCTCAGCTGATCACATGTAAACGATTGCCTTTCCTCAGCGTTATCACATCGATGAGGAAAGGAAAGCCAATAACTGGCTTTCCTGTGGCAAGGACATTTACAGCCGTGCCCTGATATCAGTGCAGAACCATCAGTGCAGCATATCGGTGCCCATCAGTGCACCCTAAAGCCAAAACAACTAATTGACGTAATCGATTCTGAAAAGAGTTGTAAACTATTTTTTATATTCTATTAGTTGGTCAGCCGATTTGTTGGCCTGCATACAGAATGCATTATTTGTTTATATATCAGAAATTACAGTGCAGCACACATTCAGTCCATACATTGCAGTATACACCGTGCAGCACACATGGAGCTCAGTACACAATCCATACATGTCAGTAAGTGCCTGAAGGTAGGAGAAGAAATTAATAAAGGCAGGCTTTTTTTTTTTTTTTTAACCTTGCTGTAAGGGCACATTATACTATACGTTGAAGCTTGCTATGGGAGCACTCTGATCACCAATCTGATCACCGGAAGGGGAGAAAAAGGACTGCACTGTGCAAAACCATTGCACAGAGCAAGTATGTTTGACAAGTGTGTTGTTTTATATAAAAAAAAATTCAGCGTTAACAATCACTTTAGGGCTCTGTACAGGAAAGATCAGCATTTGATGGTACTATAAAGCATTGCAATTAAATTTACCAGTATTGTGCATTATATTTTAAAATAATTATATCCATGGAAAAATTCTCAACCTTTTAGTACTACTAATCTAAAGGTTTTGTATTTCCCCTTCACTCTTCATGTAGCTTCATGTCTGACTTCCAGTTAAAATACCCTGTATAGCCTACTATAAATTAACCCATTATAGTAGTGATTATCTGCTGTTTTTGTATTATAAAGCGCTAATTATTTTATTAACTTCATCATGGCAGGTGATAGAGCATGCTGCTGCTACTACATGTCTTAGGCTTCATGTACACTAGCAGCTCCTAAAAATTAGCTTAGGAGCTCTTGCCTTTTTTTTTTTTTTTGCCAAAGCTCCTAAACTCAAATCCTTAAGAGCCTATGTGTCCCTGTACACAAAGAATTGTAGTAAAGTTTAGGAGCTGCTGCGTGTGGGTGATGTTTATCCTTCCTCTCCTGGATGTGAAAAAATCACGTTCAGGAATTTTTTTACCATCGGCTGCGGAAAAACGCGTTACAGCGTTTTTGACGCCTTTTTACACAACCGTGGTCAGGGTAGGCTAGTGTAAATGTAGCCTAATGCTGGCCATACAGATATTGATTTTTGTCAGAACCACCACACCAGGCAAAATGTAGTACAAAACATTAACCTAAAATAAGACAAAATAACCTAAAATATAAAAATGTGTAAACATGTACATTCACCTTGGAGAATGGAGAATAACCATAGACCTCTATATATAAGAAAAAGAAGGTAAGTGATTTCTATCCTCCATATAAAAAAATAATCCAAGGGAAAGCAAGGAGAGAAATTACTGCAGATGTAATTCTAGATCCCACCTGACATTTAACCCCTGAGGGGATTTATTCTGTAACCTAAAAATCCACCATGCTTCTCTACTATAGTGTCTTGTATCAAGCTACCTGCCTATGAAAAGGGAATCTGTCATGCATAAAATTATATTACAGTCCTATCGGAAAATCTGCAAAACAGCATTTTAGGCCTTTTTTTTTTTTTTTCTTTAAATACTAATTTTGGCCTTTTGAGTCTGATATGTACCATATTCAATTTCTAATAGTATATGAAGTATATCTCTTCTGTCTGTTATTCTCAGTGTGGATCAGACAGTTTTTTCCCCAACCATATAGCTGGGTATTTATATTTACAACTGCATATAGACATAACATATTAACTAAATTATACGCCAAACGTTTTTTTTTTAGGTTTTTATCCAATTAATCAAAAACCTAATCGGTCAACTAGTCGATTACAAAAATAATCGTTAGTTGCAACCCCAGTGCAGCCCCCTTAGTGCAGCATATCATTGCAACATATCAGTGCCCTTCAGTGCAGTGTCCTCAGCGCATATCAGTGAAGAAGAAAAATTACTCATTTGCAATTTTATTTACTCACATTGCATTTTTATAACAGAAACAGGTGTTTGTTTCCCAAATTTTTTATTTTTTTTTGTTTAGCAAAAAAATAAAAAACCCAGTGGTGATTACATACCACCAAAAGAAAGCTGTCTGTCTCAAAAAAAGATAAAAATTTAGTTTGGGTACAGTGTTGCATGACCACACAAAATGTCGACAGCACTGAAAGCTGAAAATTGGCCTGGGCAGGAAGAAGGTGAAAGTGGCCAGTATTGAAGTGGTTAATATAACTTAAGTAATCACCCTTTGTTGTTTGTGTTTTTTTTTTCTTTTCAATTTAAATAAACACTTTCATTTCTCTTTAGACACTTTTCAACTGGTTTCCATAAAGTTACCAAAATCAGTCGACCATGAATGTGAAGCCAAAGAAATGTCAGTAATATTTGAAGTCATTCGTCGATCACCAAAATGTACAGCAGTGGGAAGAGATGTGAGTGTGAATTACCTCATATAAGTTGTTGCTTTTGTTGAATTTGTTTAGTGCAATATCAGTCTTAAAGTGGAGCTCCACCCAAAAGGGGAAGAATGTTCCACTTTAAGGACTGGCCGCCCACTCCCCATAAAGAATTGGCACATTTGAGGAGCAGGTACCTTATTTGGACAGGTATCTGCTTCAGCTTTGACCACCTAGGCGATCAAAAGCAAAAGTTTTCCCTGCTGCTCGTGCAGGCGCAGTGGGCACCCGGCTGTGAAGATGCAAGCTTTCACAGCCAGGTGTTCACACTTAAGATGCTGGGGACAGATGCTGTTTTTGTAGCTGCTGACTTCTATTCTTTCAGAAGAGTTTGGACTACCACTCTAATTTCTGTTGTTGGTGTTTTTTTTTTTTTTTTTTTTAATTATTAAAAATGACATCACCTCTGATTTTTTTTTTTTTTTTTTTTTCTGGAGATGCAGCAGTGTAGTCTAACCTGGGCAAATCTTGTGCTTGGGTTTCATAGGAGGTCTTTTGTGTGGTAGATTTATATTGGAAAAAAAAGTATTTTGTGTCCTTTTTCCTGAACATAACGCTTAAGCCCACCCTAACGCTTTTGCCTCCTAGTACCTAAAACTCACAAAAACTAAACTAGCCTCTCAAATAGACTCTTCTTTCCTCTAACCCTTAAGAACATTTTGTGCTCCAAGCTTGTCATCCTGATTCTTGTCTTACTATCTAATTACTGATCTGGAGCAAGTATTTGCATATTCAAATACCCATACTGTATGTGTTCTGGATCAGTGATCCACTAGATAGTGAAGTAAAAGAATAGCTGCACTGAAGCACAAATTTTAAAGGTCACGTTTACAATGATGGCTCCCATATTTCTGTCCTCACCAGTTGACTTTAAGTTGTATGTTTGCATATCCACTAAAAGCTCATTTTCAGCTATATTTGTCAGCTTGCTAGCTTAAATGTCAGCAGAGAGCAAGACAATTTTCCACTAGCAATTCCCATAACACATGCTGGTGATACATTGCTTTGATCAGTTTAGAAAGCTGAAAGTTGTGGTAGTTTTGTCAACTACCTTATGTACAGTCAGGTCCATAACTATTGGGACATCGACACAATTCTTACATCCAAATCAGGTGAACGGTGTAGGAATTGCAACAGTTTGCATATGTGCCTCCCACTTGTTAAGGGACCAAAAGTAATGGGACAATTGGCTTCTCAGCTGTTCCATGGCCAGGTTTGTGTTATTCCCTCATCCCAATTATAATGAGCAGATAAAAGGTCCAGAGTTAATTTCAAGTGTGCTATTTGCATTTGGAATCTGTTGCTGTCAACTCTCAAGATGAGATCCAAAGAGCTGTCACTATCAGTGAAGCAAGCCATCATTAGGCTGAAAATACAAAACAAACCCATCAGAGATAGCAAAAACATTGGGCGTGGCCAAAACAACTGTTTGGAACATTCTTAAAAAGAAGGAACGCACCAGTGAGCTCAGCAACACCAAAAGACTCGGAAGACCACGGAAAACAACTGTGGTGGATGACCGAAGAATTCTTTCCCTGGTGAAGAAAACACCCTTCACAACAGTTGGCCAGATCAAGAACACTCTCCAGGAGGTAGGTGTATGTGTGTCAAAGTTAACAATCAAGAGAAGACTTCACCAGAGTGAATACAGAGGGTTCACCACAAGATGTAAACCATTGGTGAGCCTCAAAAACAGGAAGGCCAGATTAGAGTTTGCCAAACGACATCTAAAAAAGCCTTCACAGTTCTGGAACAACATCCTATGGACAGATGAGACCAAGATCAACTTGTACCAGAGTGATGGGAAGAGAAGAGTATGGAGAAGGAAAGGAACTGCTTATGATCCTAAGCATACCAAATCATCAGTGAAGCATGGTGGTGGTAGTGTCATGGCGTGGGCATGTATGGCTGCCAATGGAACTGGTTCTCTTGTATTTATTGATGATTCGGGCAATATTATCTGCTCATATTCAGCCAAATGCTTCAGAACTCATTGGATGCCGCTTCACAGTGCAGATGGACAATGACCCAAAGCATACTGCAAAAGCAACCAAAGAGTTTTTTTTAAGGGAAAGAAGTGGAATGTTACGCAATGGCCAAGTCAAACACCTGACCTGAATCCGATTGAGCATGCATTTCACTTGCTGAAGACAAAACTGAAGGGAAAATACCCCAAGAACAAGCAGGAACTGAAGACAGTTGCAGTAGAGGCCTGGCAGAGCATCACCAGGGATGAAACCCAGCATCTGGTGATGTCTATGCGTTCCAGACTTCAGGCTGTAATTGACTGCAAAGGATTTGCAACCAAGTATTAAAAAGTGAAAGTTTGATTTATGGTTATTGTTCTGTCCCATTACTTTTGGTCCCTTAACAAGTAGGAGGCACATATGCAAACTGTTGTAATTCCTACACCGTTCACCTGATTTGGATCTAAAACCCTCAAATGAAAGCTGACAGTCTGCAGTTAAAGCACATCTTGTTCGTTTCATCTCAAATCCATTGTGGTGGTGTATAGAGCCAAAAATGTTAGAATTGTGTCGATGTCCCAATATTTATGGACCTGACTATATGTCCAACATGAAGAAATATATACGATAACAAGTGCTATGCTCGGCTACGGTATGTCCCATAACAAACTACACAATCTGCTGTAATTAAATACTATATAACTATAAATTGATGTATTACTTTTTTCTGTAAAGGGTGAATATATTTCCACAGTGAATGGATTAAGCCTCTTGGTCTATTATTTCAAAAACAAAAAGTGTTTCAGGTAAGGATGATTTAATGTGTTGATGCATGGTTTGTTGTCTGGGGATGTTCTCATTTATCCATGTCATGGTATAGCTAGTAGTGTTCACATTCAACTGGACTTGTTCTTTAACCACTTGCCTATTGGCCACTTTGACACCCTTCAGCGCTGTTGCACTTTGACAGTTGCATGGTCATGCAACACTGTACCCAAACCAATTTTTTATCATTTTATTTTTTTTCTTTGAGACAGATCTAGATTTTGTTTGGTATTTAATCACCACTGGGTTTTTTTTTATTTTTTGCTAAACTAAAAAGATAACATTTTGGTTACCTAAAAGAAAAAAAAAAAAACATTTTTTTTCTTAGTTTCTGTTATAAAATTTTGTAAATAAGTAATTTTTCTCTTTCACTGATGTGTTCTGATGAGGCTGCACTGATAGGTGGCACTGATGGGTACTGACGGGCAACATTGGCGGGCACTGATAGGTGGCACTGATGGGTACTGATGGACTGCACTGGAAGGCGGCACTGATGGGCATTGACATGCATCACTGATGAGGTGGCACTGAGAATCGGGACACTGATGGTCAGCGTGAGGAGAGCACTTCCAATAACCGGTATTTCCTGTTTACATGTGATCAGTTGTGATTGGACACAGCTGATCACATGGTAGAGCCTACGTCATTGGCTCTTTAACGCAATTGGTGATCCACTGTGTCTGAGGGACACAGCACACCACCGACCACTGCACACCCCCGGGGGGCGCATGCTCCGTTAGAGTGGTTGGACGTCATATGACGTCCTCCCAGAACCAGAGAGCTCTCTGCCCATCCGTCATTTCCCTAATAGGGCGGGCAGGAGGCGGTTAATGTTGATGATGATTCGCTACTCATTCATGTAGCTTGGTTCATGACACCATTGTGTTTGGGTCAAACTAACTAAGAGACTTGTGTGGCTGGGGTATGTTATTGACACTCCCTAGACATGAGGAAGCCATGAGTTGCAAAGTGTCTTTAGCAGAACAGAATGGGGTTGATACACTAAAGGTAAATAGGCTGGTCACTTTGCAAGGGTACTTTCTTTTAGCTTAGTGAAGGAATTGAAGATCTGCTGACTTCCATCATCCAGTCATGTGCAAGCAAAAAAGACATTTTTTTTTTTTTTTTTTAATATTCCTTGCAGATGATTGGATGTTCTTTGTGAAGTGAATTTTCAGCACATTCACTAAGTTAAGAGAAAATCAACCCCAGTGAGTCCAGTTGAATGTGAGCAACTGCCACTTTGCTACATGGTTTGTTTTTTTCTTTTCATTCAATCGTGCATGTATGAAATTGAACATGCTCTCTTGATATCAGTACTTCCAGTTGCTCTTCCAGTTTTACTACCACATTATCACCTTTCACAAGAGCTGCTGATGGAGACTACAATTGCCCTATTAATACGCATGGTTTACCTGTTGCCATCAGGAACACTCCCTGAGAAATGCCATGCAGTCATCGTTGAAGCGCATTCATATAGACAGAGAATGGGTGCGATAAAAACAAGTGTTTTTTTTTTTTTATTTAAAAAAAACAAAAAACACTCTTTTTGAAAAGTCAAAAGGTCAAATGACAGGACTTTTTTTCAGCATTTTTTTTCCATTCAATAAAATAAATCAGAGTCCTGATGCATAAAGCACTACGGTGTCTAAATGTGCTTTGCTTAATTCTTTTATCTTTATTTTTTTCTTTTATATGGCCATATAACTGGGCTCATAAATGTTATTCTGTCAGGGTTTACATCTAATTTAAATTGATCTTCAAACAAAGATCTCTGGTGGCACGCTGTCACTGCTGAAGCACATCCATCTTCACCTAGTCTTTCTTCTGAGTTTGCGTGCTTCAACTGTATCAAATGGCCAAAATGTGATGTCACTTCTGTGCACATCACCATAGTGGCATGTGCTCTCTACATGCAAGGCACACTTGTTTGTGTATTCAGAGAGTATTGTGCATGCGCTAATTAAGTCATCTGTTTAAGCCAAAGACAGTATTTACTAAACAAAGCAAGTCTGAGCCGTTTTTAAATGGGCCTATACTTAAGACTTTTCATAGTCTTACCTGTAGGGTAAAATCAACTTTTTGACTTTACTACCGCCTTATGCCGGCCATAGACGGATCAAAAATCGGTAATTGGTTGGCCATTTTTCGGGGTTTTTGCGCATTGTTTTTTATCGGGCATGTTGGAAAATTCGTGGCCGATTTTCCCGGCAATGATGGGCAAATTGGCCGATCGTTTTTTTACCGATAAAAAAATCTGCGCATGAGCCGTGACCTGCAAGAAGAATAAGAAGACTTCTAGTCCGCTATTATATTTTTATATGAAAAAGTCTTTTGGTTGCAACAAATTTATCCATTTGTATCCAAATAAAAACATCTGTATCCAAAAACATTGTAATCCAAATAATGTATTACAGTGTTTTTATTTGGATACATTTGTTGCAACCGCAAGACTTTTTCATATAAAATATAATAGCGGACTGGAATTCTTATGTATTGCTGTCACATTGTATGTTGTGTGCTCCCCTGTCTCTGCAAGGGACAGAAGTTATGGGGTTAATGCTGGTGGTAGTCGGGACAAAAATCGGCCGTTTTTTTTTTTTTTCTTAACGTTGGTGGTAACGTCGACCGATTTTTTTTTTTTTTTTTTTTTTTTTTTTTTTTTTCTTTTAAATCTGCCGATTTTTGACCAGTCTATGGTCTGCATTAAGGTCTGTTTGAAACGTTTGCTTTTACCTTTTAATGTTATGCTAAAAGGTGTTTCATTGCACTCATGATATCCCAAAAGACCCACACTGTTAATCAAATATTTCCTAGACCTATAGACCACCGTAACATACAGTTAGGTACATTTATATTTGGACACATGCACAATTTTAGACACTTTTTCAGGTATTTATACCAAAATATATTCAAGCTATAGTTATATAATGGATATGGGCTGAAAGTGCACACTTTCACGTTTAATTTGAAGGTATGTACATCAAAATTGGAGGAATTACTGCTCTTAAGATTAGCCATCCCCCCTTTTTCAAGAGACCCAAAAGTAATTGGATAATTGAATCAAAAGCTTTTTCATGGCCAGGTGTGGTCTACTCCTTTATTTCTTCATCAGTTAAGCAGGTAAAAGTTTTGGAGTTGATTCTAAGTGTGGTATTTGCATGTGGAATCTATTGCTGTGAACCTACATCATGCGTTTAAAGGAGCTGATCCTGCAAGTGAAACAGGCCATTGAAAGGCTTCAAAAACTAAACAAATCCATCAGAATGATACAGTTGCAGCAACATTAGGAGTGGCCAAATCAACAGTTTGGTACATTCTGAGGAAAGAACAATGCACTGGTGTGCTCAGCAACATAAAAAGGCATGGACGTCCACGGAAGACAACAGTGGTGGATGTTCGCAAGGCTCCTCTCTATGGTAAAGAAAAACCCATTCACAACATCCAGACAAGTGAAGGACACTCTCCAGGAGGTGGGCATATCATTGTCAAAGTCTACAATCGAGAAGACTTCACAAGAGCAAATACAGAGGGTTCACCACAAGGTGCAAACCATTCATAAGTCTGAAGAAATAGAAAAGCCATATTAGACTTTGCCAAAAAAAAATCTACAAAAGCTAGACCAGTTCTGGAAAAGCATTCTTTGGACGGATGAAACTAAAAATGAATCTGTAGCAGAATGACGTGAAGAAAAAGTGTGGAGAAGGCTTGGAACAGCTCATGATCCAAAGCATACAACATCATCTGTAAAACATGATGGAGGCAGTGTGAGATATACTGTCAGCACAAATTCAGCGAAATGAGCAAAGTTGATTGGACGGCACTTCACAGTACAGATGGACAATGATCCAAAACACACTGCAAAAGGAACCCAGGAGCTTTTGAAGGAAAAGAAGTGGAATATTCTGCAATGGCCGAGTCAATCACCTGATCTCCACCCAATTGAGCATGCATTTCACTTGCTGCAGGCAAAACTAAAGACAGACTCACAACAATTGAAGACAGCTGCAGTTAGAGCCTGGCAAAGCATCAGAAAGGAGGAAACCAGTCTTTGGTAATGTGCATGGGTTTCCAGACTTCAGGCAGTCATTGCCAGTAAAGGATTCTCAACAAAATATTAAAAATGAACATTTTATTTATGATTTATATTCAATTGTCTAATTACATTTGAGCCCTTGAAAATGGAGGGACTGTGTATAAAAATGGTTGCAGTTCCTAAAATGTGTACTTTTAAATTCATGTTCAACCCCTTGAATTAAAGCTGAAAGTCTGCACTTCAAATTAATTTGGATTGTTTTTGTTTTAATTTTTATTCTGGTGGCATACAGAGCCAAAAGTATGAAAATTGTGCCTGTGTCCAAATATATAAGGACCTAACTGTATCTCTCCAGTCTGATGAGAAGTAAGCTAGACGATTCTTTTGAAAATGAACAGCTTACATTATTCTGGCGAATCACACAATGTCCAGCTCACCAGATTTGTAAATTGATTTATTGCTAATCTTATCTTGTTGGAAGCTAAAATGAAGGACCGTAGGTGAACAGAAAACCTTAATGTTGGTACTACAGCATAGTGATTTGCTATTTATAAAATGGTAAATTACATCATGGCAAATGTTGCTGTTTTATTCAGATTCTTTAAGTGCAACAAGCAAAAAGGGTGCCATATAATATATTCACTGTTGTGAAATGCCATCCTCGTGAAGACTGCATAGCCACAGGACACAAAGATGGCAAGATTCGACTCTGGTGAGTCCTAAATATATACACTGTTACATAGTCTGCATTTTCTTTTATGTTTGAAAATGTAAATTTCTGACATGGATTTGCCTGCTTCCCTGGCTTTTCTTCCTGCTTTAGAGAAAAGGACCAGAAGGGTTTAGGGAGAAAAACTCCATATGCAAAAACTTGATACCTTTTGAATGTCAAACCTAGGGCAAGCATATGTATAACAGTTTTTAATCTTGTTTTTTTTGCAGACCTGAACATGCAATTTAAATAAAGTCATCTTTCGTAGATCACATATTGGTATTCTGCAAAGGTTCCCTTTTAAGCAAAATAAAAAAATAGACTGATATTCAGGAAAGGGTCACTTTTTTAATAAAGCTTTGTTGAACAGAAAGCTGACTTTCAACATTTTCCTGTCCCAAGTGGGTTTTTCCTCCATTTTGCACCTGTTAGGGTTAGCTGGTTTTGCAATTCAGTTGATACCAATGCGTAGCCTTAATGCACCCCCCATATCAAAGAACAAAAATGTAAATATTGGTCAGCTGACTAGTTATTGAAATGTGGTGACTGCAGTATTTTACTTTTTTATGGCAATTTATTTTCCACCTAGTGATCCTGCAAGTAATATAGTTACATACATAGTTTACATAGTTAGTCTGGTTGAAAAGACAAGTCCATTTAGATTAACCAATAAAAAGATGTATACAATCCTATATAAACAATCCCGTACCCAAAGTTGATACAGAGGAAAGCAAAAAAACCCCTGCAAAGCATGATTAAATTTGCTCCAGCAGGAGCAAAAATTCTTTACTGATCCCCCAGGGGCATACGGATATGCCCTGGGATCAACTTTACCTATAAATGTTAGTATCCCAGTTATATTAGGTGCAATAAGGAAAAAATACTTTTTTAAAGCAATCCACTGGGCCAAAACCAGCTCTTGAGGGATGTCTATTCCACATTTTCACAGCTTCTTACTGTGAAAAAAAAAACATTTACGTATTTGGAGATTCAAATATCTTTTCTTTTAGACATACCCCCCCCTCCCCCCCCCCCCCCCCCCCCCCCTCTCACTCCCCCCCCCCCCCCCCCCCCCCCCCCCCCCGCCCCCCCCCCCCCCCCCCCCCCCCCCCCCCCCCCCCCCCCCCCCCCCCCCCCCCCCCCCCCCCCCCCCCCCCCCCCCCCCCCCCCCCCCCCCCCCCCCCCCCCCCCCCCCCCCCCCCCCCCCCCCCCCCCCCCCCCCCCCCCCCCCCCCCCCCCCCCCCCCTCCCCCCCCCCCCCCCCCCCCCCCCCCCCCCTCCCCCCCCCCCCCCCCCCCCCCCCCCCCCCCCCCCCCCCCCCCCCCCCCCCCCCCCCCCCCCCCCCCCCCCCCCCCCCCCCCCCCCCCCCCCCTCCCCCCCCCCCCCCCCCCCCCCCCCCCCCCCCCCCCCCCCCCCCCCCCCCCCCCCCCCCCCCCCCCCCCCCCCCCCCCCCCCCCCCCCCCCCCTCCCCCCCCCCCCCCCCCCCCCCCCCCCCCCCCCCCCCCCCCCCCCCCCCCCCCCCCCCCCCCCCCCCCCCCCCCCCCCCCCCCCCCCCCCCCCCCCCCTCCCCCCCCCCCCCCTCCCCCCCCCCCCCCCCCCCCCCCCCCCCCCCCCCCCCCCCCCCCCCCCCCCCCCCCCCCCCCCCCCCCCCCCCCCCCCCCCCCCCCCCCCCCCCCCCCCCCCCCCCTCCCCCCCCCCCCCCCCCCCCCCCCCCCCCCCCCCCCTCCCCCCCCCCCCCCCCCCCCCCCCCCCCCCCCCCCCCCCCCCCCCCCCCCCCCCCCCCCCCCCCCCCCCCCCCCCCCCCCCCCCCCCCCCCCCCCCCCCCCCCCCCTCCCCCCCCCCCCCCCCCCCCCCCCCCCCCCCCCCCCCCCCCCCCCCCCCCCCCCCCCCCCCCCCCCCCCCCCCCCCCCCCCCCCCCCCCCCCCCCCCCCCCCCCCCCCCCCCCCCCCCCCCCCCCCCCCCCCCCCCCCCCCCCCCCCCCCCCCCCCCCCCCCCCCCCCCCCCCCCCCCCCCCCCCCCCCCCCCCCCCCCCCCCCCCCCCCCCCCCCCCCCCCCCCCCCCCCCCCCCCCCCCCCCCCCCCCCCCCCCCCCCCCCCCCCCCCCCCCCCCCCCCCCCCCCCCCCCCCCCCCCCCCCCCCCCCCCCCCCCCCCCCCCCCCCCCCCCCCCCCCCCCCCCCCCCCCCCCCCCCCCCCCCCCCCCCCCCCCCCCCCCCCCCCCCCCCCCCCCCCCCCCCCCCCCCCCCCCCCCCCCCCCCCCCCCCCCCCCCCCCCCCCCCCCCCCCCCCCCCCCCCCCCCCCCCCTCCCCCCCCCCCCCCCCCCCCCCCCCCCCCCCCCTTCCCCCCCCCCCCCCCCCCCCCCCCCCCCCCCCCCCCCCCCCCCCCCCCCCCCCCCCCCCCCCCCCCCCCCCCCCCCCCCCCCCCCCCCCCCCCCCCCCCCCCCCCCCCCCCCCCCCCCCCCCCCCCCCCCCCCCCCCCCCCCCCCCCCCCCCCCCCCCCCCCCCCCCCCCCCCCCCCCCCCCCCCCCCCCCCCCCCCCCCCCCCCCCCCCCCCCCCCCCCCCCCCCCCCCCCCCCCCCCCCCCCCCCCCCCCCCCCCCCCCCCCCCCCCCCCCCCCCCCCCCCCCCCCCCCCCCCCCCCCCCCCCCCCCCCCCCCCCCCCCCCCCCCCCCCCCCCCCCCCCCCCCCCCCCCCCCCCCCCCCCCCCCCCCCCCCCCCCCCCCCCCCCCCCCCCCTCCCCCCCCCCCCCCCCCCCCCCCCCCCCCCCCCCCCCCCCCCCCCCCCCCCCCCCCCCCCCCCCCCCCCCCCCCCCCCCCCCCCCCCCCCCCCCCCCCCCCCCCCCCCCCCCCCCCCCCCCCCCCCCCCCCCTCCCCCCCCCCCCCCCCCCCCCCCCCCCCCCCCCCCCCCCCCCCCCCCCCCCCCCCCCCCCCCCCCCCCCCCCCCCCCCCCCCCCCCCCCCCCCCCCCCCCCCCCCCCCCCCCCCCCCCCCCCCCCCCCCCCCCCCCCCCCCCCCCCCCCCCCCCCCCCCCCCCCCCCCCCCCCCCCCCCCCCCCCCCCCCCCCCCCCCCCCCCCCCCCCCCCCCCCCCCCCCCCCCCCCCCCCCCCCCCCCCCCCCCCCCCCCCCCCCCCCCCCCCCCCCCCCCCCCCCCCCCCCCCCCCCCCCCCCCCCCCCCCCCCCCCCCCCCCCCCCCCCCCCCCCCCCCCCCCCCCCCCCCCCCCCCCCCCCCCCCCCCCCCCCCCCCCCCCCCCCCCCCCCCCCCCCCCCCCCCCCCCCCCCCCCCCCCCCCCCCCCCCCCCCCCCCCCCCCCCCCCCCCCCCCCCCCCCCCCCCCCCCCCCCCCCCCCTCCCCCCCCCCCCCCCCCCCCCCCCCCCCCCCCCCCCCCCCCCCCCCCCCCCCCCCCCCCCCCCCCCCCCCCCCCCCCCCCCCCCCCCCCCCCCCCCCCCCCCCCCCCCCCCCCCCCCCCCCCCCCCCCCCCCCCCCCCCCCCCCCCCCCCCCCCCCCCCCCCCCCCCCCCCCCCCCCCCCCCCCCCCCCCCCCCCCCCCCCCCCCCCCCCCCCCCCCCCCCCCCCCCCCCCCCCCCCCCCCCCCCCCCCCCCCCCCCCCCCCCCCCCCCCCCCCCCCCCCCCCCCTCCCCCCCCCCCCCCTCCCCCCCCCCCCCCCCCCCCCCCCCCCCCCCCCCCCCCCCCCCCCCCCCCCCCCCCCCCCCCCCCCCCTCCCCCCCCCCCCCCCCCCCCCCCCCCCCCCCCCCCCCCCCCCCCCCCCCCCCCCCCCCCCCCCCCCCCCCCCCCCCCCCCCCCCCCCCCCCCCCCCCCCCTCCCCCCCCCCCCCCCCCCCCCCCCCCCCCCCCCCCCCCCCCCCCCCCCCCCCCCCCCCCCCCCCCCCCCCCCCCCCCCCCCCCCCCCCCCCCCCCCCCCCCCCCCCCCCCCCCCCCCCCCCCCCCCCCCCCCCCCCCCCCCCCCCCCCCCCCCCCCCCCCCCCCCCCCCCCCCCCCCCCCCCCCCCCCCCCCCCCCCCCCCCCCCCCCCCCCCCCCCCCCCCCCCCCCCCCCCCCCCCCCCCCCCCCCCCCCCCCCCCCCCCCCCCCCCCCCCCCCCCCCCCCCCCCCCCCCCCCCCCCCCCCCCCCCCCCCCCCCCCCCCCCCCCCCCCCCCCCCCCCCCCCCCCCCCCCCCCCCCCCCCCCCCCCCCCCCCCCCCCCCCCCCCCCCCCCCCCCCCCTCCCCCCCCCCCCCCCCCCCCCCCCCCCCCCCCCCCCCCCCCCCCCCCCCCCCCCCCCCCCCCCCCCCCCCCCCCCCCCCCCCCCCCCCCCCCCCCCCCCCCCCCCCCCCCCCCCCCCCCCCCCCCCCCCCCCCCCCCCCCCCCCCCCCCCCCCCCCCCCCCCCCCCCCCCCCCCCCCCCCCCCCCCCCCCCCCCCCCCCCCCCCCCCCCCCCCCCCCCCCCCCCCCCCCCCCCCCCCCCCCCCCCCCCCCCCCCCCCCCCCCCCCCCCCCCCCCCCCCCCCCCCCCCCCCCCCCCCCCCCCCCCCCCCCCCTCCCCCCCTCCCCCCCCCCCCCCCCCCCCCCCCCCCCCCCCCCCCCCCCCCCCCCCCCCCCCCCCCCCCCCCCCCCCCCCCCCCCCCCCCCCCCCCCCCCCCCCCCCCCCCCCCCCCCCCCCCCCCCCCCCCCCCCCCCCCCCCCCCCCCCCCCCCCCCCCCCCCCCCCCCCCCCCCCCCCCCCCCCCCCCCCCCCCCCCCCCCCCCCCCCCCCCCCCCCCCCCCCCCCCCCCCCCCCCCCCCCCCCCCCCCCCCCCCCCCCCCCCCCCCCCCCCCCCCCCCCCCCCCCCCCCCCCCCCCCCCCCCCCCCCCCCCCCCCCCCCCCCCCCCCCCCCCCCCCCCCCCCCCCCCCCCCCCCCCCCCCCCCCCCCCCCCCCCCCCCCCCCCCCCCCCCCCCCCCCCCCCCCCCCCCCCCCCCCCCCCCCCCCCCCCCCCCCCCCCCCCCCCCCCCCCCCTCCCCCCCCCCCCCCCCCCCCCCCCCCCC